TCCTGCTTTCTTTCTCTCTTCTCCTCCATTTTCTCTCGCCTTTTCTTGTTCTCTCTTCCTTCCTTCCTCTTATCTCCCTGGTTCTTTTCTGGCTAGGACTGCAAGCATTATATATGAATTTTCGCAGCACTTTACACGTCCGCTTAACCTAACTAATAAAGCAGCAACCTAAGCAAGCAGCCTCTGGGTGGTAAATTACCCACTACTCACAAGGCCAAGCAACTTGAACACCGGTGAGGCCTTACCTGTTGAATGCAGAATTTCCTCACTGTGTAGTCAACCAGGATGGTGACATCTTCCACGGAGACTCGGATATTCCCATACGTCCAGCAGCCCTGATCTGGCCAATACTGGGCACATTTACACTGAGGAGAGACCACAAAACAGACCAAGTTGCAGGGGCAGAAGAGGAGATGACCTAACCACAGGGTCAGTTTTTCCCTTGGTGGGGGTCAACATCTGTTGCAGGTTAAAAGCGTTTCCAAATTTGGCTGGGCAGCCTCACTGTGGACGTGCCCTCACTCTCCAGGGAGAGGAACGCCAAGAGAAAAGAGACCACTCAGTGATCCAACAAGGCAAGCTGTTGGAGGGTGGACGATACGTTGAAATAAAGTGAAAAATTCCCTCTCTCCTTAGCAGCCTAAATATCTGGCAAATGTGACGAGAGTTTTGCCGTCAACTTTCTGCCAAGTCAAAGAATCTGAGGGTAAAAACGCCGGGATTGTACTGAATTAGTGATTGTGGCTATTGTATAGTCACGAAGAGGTGAAGGTGGCACCAAAGAGTTGGGAAGATTTTCATACAAGGCACCCTCACTAAAAGAAAGCTGAACTGGGGACACAAAAATAAATATTTTGTTTATTTATTTATTATTTATATGCCCCTTTCCTGTTTTTTTAAATAAACAACTCAAGGCAGTGAACAGATCAAATACTTCTTCCTTCTCCGAGTTTCCTCACAATAACACCCTGGTGAGGAGGGTTGGGCTGAGAGAGAGAGGGACGGGCCTCAAAGAGGCCTAGTTGGCTTTCATGCCTAAGGCGGGACTAGAATTCCCCATCTCCCGGTGATTGATACAAAATCAGTGAGCCCGTTTTCATGCTTAAAGCATGACCAGAACTCATTAAGTGATTGCCCCAAAGTTGCCCAGCCGGCTTTCATGCCTAAGTTGGGACTAGAACTCCCCGTCTCCTGGTGATTGGCCCAAAGTCACCCAGCTGGCTTTCCTGCCTAAGGCGGGACTAGAACTCCCCGTCTCCTGGTGATTGGCCCAA